TACTAGTTGACTAAAACACAGCCAAGACAAGTTACTTTGTACAGATCAAAGGTCACCTTTATATTATTTGATACAGTAAGATGAGTGCATGTGAGCCGCATTGTTGTAACTTCTGTATTTTTAGACAGGCATAGCTGAAAGTTAATATTATAAAAATAATAAATGTATATAAATGTATAATGTTATGAGATTTTAGCTATTTTGTCTAAACATTTATTATTTTATGTTATAATTTGTGTTCATTCTAGAATGAAAGAGGCATAATTTATATTTATTTCCTAATTTTATATGGTGGTTGCGAGATCAGTCAAATCTCCCGAACCCATACAGATATTAACATATATAAAGTTTTTTTTCTTAAGATATTTTTGATAACTATCCGGATATTATTCAGATTAATTTTATGGCTTAAAAAATTGTACACTGTCATGATTTTAGCTTAAATAAATGTAGGTATGTTAAATATCAAATAATCTAGAAAGGGGTATAAACAGTATTTAATTAAATTTAAATGAAGATGAGCTTTTAGCTGAAACATTAGGATAAATGCTTTGATGAAATGAATGAAGTTATAGCTTACTGATTTTTTTAGGACTCAATTTACAAGTAATAACTCATTTCTTACTGATTACATTATAGCAGATTAATTGAATTTTCTTTTAAAAACTTAGCATTCAAAAAATTTTAAAGCTATGTCTTCATTTTTTCAACTGATTGCATATGAATGTTGAATACTTTAGGCTGATGTTTAAAATAGAATAAATATATTTTCAAGAATTAAAATGCTAGATTATTCAAATATCAACAACATTTTTATGAAGTGTACTGCTTGTAACTACACAGATATCCTTATGAAAGAATAGATGGAAGAGTGCGTGGCAACTTGAGACAAGCTGCAATTGACCGTTTCTGCAAGCCAGGTGGGAGTGGATCTGTTTATTTAAGCTTTTTTTTTTAAATAATTATTATGTAGTTTTTTTTGTGTGTGTGTTTGAGTAAAATATTATCAAATGATATATATGGATTTAAATTTCTGGTTTTTGATGCTTATTTTTTGTGGTGAATTATGTTATAGCCTGTTAAACAATACACCATGCTTTTTTGAAGTTTAGTATTTCAAGAACAATAGGTAGTAGGATTTCTTTAGTTTTGTGCAATACATTTTTGTCTTTTTTTTTATACAGATTTATTTAAATAGAATAACTGGTTTAAGTTCTTAGTTACACAAATTTATTTAAAGGTAATTTGCCATATAAATATTTGATTTTAAAGAAACTATGATAATATTTTAGGCTTGTGCACACACCTGATGATTTTTTTTATATTAAAGAAGATATATAAAATACTTACACTTACCACCTAACAGTCTTCTTTGCACGATGGATGTTTCTTCCCTTTACACCAATATTCCACATGATGAATGACTACAAACTCTAAGGTCTGCATTAAATTTTTCTAAACAATCAGAATTTCAAACAGTAACTGATCTTGCCAGCCTGGTTTTAACTCTGAACAACTTTGAATTCAGTAACGAGCATTACATTCAGGTTAATGGTACTGCAGTGGGTACCAAAATGGCTCTTAATTATGCCATCATTTTTATGGGTCATATTGAAAACCAGCTTTTACAACTAAGCCCTATAAAACTTCATACAATGGAAACGTTACACAGATGACTTATTTTTCATTTGGACAGCCGGTCTTAAATCATTTAAAGAATTTATCTCGCATGCAAACTCATTTCACAAAATAATCAAGTTTACCTGTGATTACTTGCCTACCCAAATTAACTTTCTTGACGTCATTAAAAGACGGAATTTTACACACACTTGTACAAAAAACCTACAGGCAGACCACAATATCTTCACTATAAAAGCTGTCATCCCTCTCACACTAAACGAAACATTACCTACAGTCAATCTCTTAGAATAAAGAAAATATGCTCAGATGAAATGGACTACAGAAAACACACCAAGGATCTAAAACAAACCATGTTACAAAGAGGATATAAAGATACTGAAATTGACAGACAAATTTAAAAGGCTAACAACACTCAGCAGAAAAACATCCTAAATTAGAGCAATGCTAAACTTTCAAATAGAATTCCTGTTATTATTACCTATCAGTTTAAACTCAGAAACGTTTCACGAATTCTGAAAAAACATTTTCATCTCCTACAACTGAACGATCATCTACAACAGATATTTCCTGAAGTTCCCATTGTCTCCTTTTGAAAAAGCAGAACTCTAAAAGATATCCTTGTTCACACAAAAGTGGATTACATCCCACCCAAAAATGTTTATTGCCCATGTAATAAAGCTTGTTGTCAAACCTGTAAGTTTATAAAAACCAGTGACTCATTTTCTGACATGCACAATCAAAGAAACTATAAAATATCCAAAGAAATCACTTGTGAAACAAAAAACACCATTTATCTTGTACAGTGTAAAAGATGCAATTACCAACTCTTAGAGAACGTTTCAACAACCATAAATCTTCTATTAAAACGGAAAAAGATCTTTCTGTTGCTCAACACTTTAACCAACCTAGTAATTCCATTAACAATGTTACTCTCATAGGCATTGAAACAGGATTCAAAACTAAAGCAGATAGAGAAATAAAAGAAGCTTGTTGGATTGATAATCTAAACACTGTTCAACCTTTCAGAATTAATCCTGGAATCAGTGATCTCCGTTCATTGGTTTTATCTCTGTCAGAAAAATAATTTTTATTATTTGCTTGTTTTTTTTCATGTAATGTGAATGCTGAATTTTCTAAAACTTACTATTTATTTAAGATAATTTTCCATACCTGTTTTTATAAATTGATTAGCATAACATATATTTTTCAATCAGTCTCCAGGTGTCACCTTTATTTTACTTAAACACTTAAGTTTTAAATATACATATATTTATCCATTTCTAAAGTTAAAATATCCCTAACACCTTTTCACATACACTCTCACCATCAGCTACACTGTACCGGAAATGAGATGCTTACAACAGTACATAGAGAAATAGACTAAACATTTCCTGGAAAACTGGATGACCTTCATGACATCACTAAACTCACCTTATATATATATATATATATCACTCATTAGATTACACCACCATTCCCAGTTTGCCCCTGAAGAAGTAAGGTCCACCTTTTGAAAGTGGTTGGTTATAGGGTTTTTATTTATTTCTATCAAGACTTCCTGAACCTACGTGTTTTTTCTAATGTCATGAATACAAAACACTTATGATATGTAACAGTGAAATTACAGTTTTATGTTTGAAAAGTTTCTGACTTATGGCAAAATCATGGCTTCTACTTGATTTGTAATTAAACAGAACAATAAACATACACTAGTCCCTCAATTTTAACAGTAACAACTATTTTATTTAACCAAATGTTTTTACTTCAAAGTCATGTGAATACAAGTAAGTTAGTAATCTCAAAGTAGGTTTCAGCATTAATATGTAACTCAGTTGCCCAAAACTTTTTTCAGTTTGTGAAAAAATTGCTTGGCCTTTCAGGAACTTGGTGCTTTGTTTGTTTACTGATAGTTTAATAAGACATTAGATTTTCAACAAGATTTAAATTTAATGAACTTTTACACATAAAATGTGCCTAAATTAACTAGTGAAAGCTTCTCTTTACAAGTATTCATTGATGAAGCTTAGCTATTAACAACAAAAAAAACTACTGTTGTTCAACTCTTACACTGTTAAATGTAAACTTTTCCAATTAACAGTGCTTCTTTTTTCAAGATACATTAAATTATACTTTCCTTGTTTTCAGTATTTTCTGACTTACATTTCTGTTAGGAATGAGGTTGATGCCATGCAGTTGTCCAGTTGGTGGGTGCTAACAAGCAACTGGGCTATATCCTTTGTTAAAATGTTTGCTGTAATAGTATTGATAATTGTAGTATAGAGCATTGTTCCCAAATTGTGTTCCATGAAACCCCAGGGTTCTGCTAAGGGATTGCAAGTGTTCCATGAAACCCCAGGGTTCTGCTAAGGGATTGCAAGTGTTCCATGAAACCCCAGGGTTCTGCTAAGGGATTGCAAGTGTTCCATGGAACCCCAGGGTTCTGCTAAGGGATTGCTAGTGTTCCATGGAACCCCAGGGTTCTGCTAAGGGATTGCTAGTGTTCCATGAAACCCCAGGGTTCTGCTAAGGGATTGCTAGTGTTCCATGGAACCCCAGGGTTCTGCTAAGGGATTGCAAGTGTTCCATGGAACCCCAGGGTTCTGCTAAGGGATTGCAAGTGTTCCATGGAGCAAAATCAACATTGGTGGATAGACTGTTTGTATAAAATTGTTCAATATTACTTAGGCATTGCAGTTAGTGTTTCCATTTCCATTAAAATGAGCAATGTTCATTTTAACGGGTATCATTCTTCCTCTGTGAAGGGAAACTAGCCCACTCATGGCACTGATAGAAGTAAGTGTCATTCTCTCTTTATAATCTTGCATTAATTATACTTTTTATAATATGCCATGTAGAATAATTCAACAGTAGAATGCCAGAATATATATGCTAAACAGTTCCAGCACTTGAGGAAGTTTGGGAACCACTGGTATAATATGAAATTTAACAATTTAAAGATGTATTAAGTAGTCTAAAAACTGTATTAGTTTTAATTTATAAATGTCATCTTCAGAGTTTTGTATACCAGGCTGTAACTGACAGACTTTTTCCAAGGTCAAACAAAATATGACTGAAATTTAGATTCAAATTTAAAACATATAATGAGGATAGGTGATTTGCACCAATAAGCAAGTGTGAATCAGAACTAGCCACTGATATATTAATAGTATGCTAAATATGTAATTTCAGACAATGTATTCCAACAAAAAGATTATATAAAAATATGATTAAAAAACAGACTTATAAATCAGAAGCACTGGGTGTAATTTTTATGTCTTTCTTTAGTAAAAGATGTTTAATCGAAGTTGTATCTTTTGTAAAAGTGCTTGTCCAGAACAGCAGATCTGAAATAGTATTCATAAAAGTTGATTTTGTTTTTTAACACTATATTAATAAATTCATCATTTGTCTTCAACAGACATAATTTTGAATTCTTGTCTAGTAGATTGTATGTTGTTCCTTTATAACATAAATTTTAATTTGAAAGTAGAAGTAGTAGTGGCGGTTCTGATCTAGCCGCATCATAACATGCTCATCTAAAATACCTTGCACAAGATGTATAATATCTTTATTCCTTGCACAGTAAGGACATTCAGTCAACTATGGTAACTAAATATGGGTACATTGTATAAACACAAAAAATTTCTTTGTTTTTACTCCAATGGCTTTTTCATATTTTTTTAATGTCACACTTTCATACATTTGACCATACTGCAAAGGTGGAGATCTTAAAGCTGTTGGATTTGTTAGTCTCTTGGCTAACTTATGTACATCTTTGCATGAGGTTAACTTCACTATTTCACAAAAATTATTAGTAGTCAAGCTTTAGGACTTGATCTCTAGCCAAAGTTGATAAGTTGCTTGCTACTGTGTCAGTTAATGCCTATAGTATATGATTAGGCAGTTTTAAAATAACATCATTAAATTACATATCACATTATTAAATATGGTTCACATTGTCAAAGCTTTCTGATCTGTCTTGCTTTGTAGAAGAATAAAAATTAACCTTCTTGATTTACCAGGTGGCCTTTCATAATTTGTTCCTCATTTCTTTAGTTCTGCTTTTAGTTGAGATAGTGTATACTTCTCATATTTTGCTATTTTCTTGTTTTAAAGCTTAATGGAGATGATGTTAATACCACTGTAGTAAAGTACAAGTATAGAATAACCAAACTGCATGTCAGGGTCATCCAACAGAATAGTTTTAAACCTGCCCTATTGTCTGATTCTTTTTTTTTCTCTCTCTCTCTTTTCATTTAATATTTAAGCAACATGTTCTCTTATTGTTTGGTTTGGCCACAATTTTGTGAACTCTGAACAAGGTTTTGAAGTATACAGATACTGATTGGTTAAAACATTGATGTGTAATATGCCTCCAACCAATGAAAATGCAAATTTCTACACTGGTCATAACAAGGCACTGCCTTTTAGAAAACAAAGCCAGTATAGGAAGTACATAAAAAATGTCGATTTCAGCTTGCTCTGAATGAAAACATTAATTATTGTTTGTGAATTTCCTGAATGTTTTTCAGAACATAAGGTAGCACTTGTACACCCTAGGAACTAAGTTGAAATAGTTTTGAATAAAATAGAGCTGATATAGACCTTGTAACTGTAACCATTTCTCAACCTCAGTTATAATGTAACTTGCCTATATCTCAGCCTTGAGAAGCCATAGGCTGATGATTTAAACACATAATGAAAAACTCTTCTTCTGTGATTTTCAACTGTTTTATCCAGTTTTGCTTCCAGTTCATTGGAGAATTGGGTGGAGATCAGAACAGAGTGATAAAGCTTAGTTTAAAGCTTAGATAAAACTACTTTTAGCATGGATGTATGAAGGTCTTAAAAGAGCGTAGGAAAACACAAAAATCGATAATTAAGATGTACAACAAATAGTAGTGCTTGCTTGTTTTTATTCACATTCCCCTTAATTTGTTCATTGTTTCTCAAAATCATGGATGTGTAAAAAAAATAGCATTTCAGATTTGTCTCCCACATGTTTGGTTGTATGCTCTTTTGTGTAAGTGTTGACTCAGAAATGCCTCATATTTTATCAACATGTCAAATATGTAAAATAACTGTGATATAATCAGTAGTTGTGTATGTATGTGTGTGTGTATATGTGAGTAAAATAACAGTAGTTACTGAAGTAATGGTTTTATATGGAATTTATTTAAATTGGAAAAAATTAATTAGTAACCAGCAAACTCCTGATTAATATTATAACTTGCAAACTGTGAATTTGCAGTCTTTAAGGTAAAACCATAATGCACAATGTTGTGAACATGGAAATGACATGAAATACCATACTTCCTACATTGAAAGTGCCTGCAACAATGGCATGACTTGAGGACATCAAGAATTTAGAATTCTAAAATTTTTTTTATATTGATAACATTGCTCATGAGTGGCCATTGGAGTTCTACAATGTTTATAAATCGTTTTTTTTTTTTTTGGGGGGGGGGGGGTATTACCAGATATGGCACTCCTGTTGATGCACAGGTTCTTATGTTCATTGTAGCATGTCACTAGAGAACAACTCAAAACTTTTACATTCAGCTATTGTATAGTCTGCATATTGTTCTCAAGGCTGTCTCACACCATGATAGAATTTGAACTTTTTCTAAAGAGAACTGAGTGTTAGTAATGTCCTTGTCATGTAAGATGATCGTAACCCCATGGTACTTCTGATTGTTGATAATATGGTATATGATAGGATGATAGACTCTCAGATTGATATAATCTGTAACCTCTCACTGTTTTGTCTGTAGTAACTTCACAAAACTGCATATTAAGTTCCCAGGCATCAAATAAAGTAATTAACTTAGGCTACTTTACAAAGTTATGGCCCTGGTGTTTTGTTGTGGAGCATGGCTGGGCCATTCTTAGTCATTTTATGATACTTTATGACATTTTAAAGTCGCAAATAACATATTTTTGAGTTAACTCACTCTCGAGTGTGCTAACAATGCTATCGGCTTTGTTTGGTCATAAGTTTCAGTTGATGATTAAATCAGGAATGCGACTAAATACCGGTTGAAGCATCACTATCACAATATAAGATTGTTCTAAAAAAGCCAAATACTCTTGAAAGTGAAACTTGTTTTCATTTTGTTCGTTTTATCACACACTGTTTAGTTTGTTTTATTCTTACTTTCTTTTTTATGATGACATTTTTATTTTTACATGTTTTCTATTATGTTGGCTAATTTTAATTTTCCTGTTCTATCACTCTTTGATCAGTTAATAGTTTTTACATGTTTCTTTTATTACATTGACTATTGTTTTTAACTTCTTGATCAGACTTTGACCAAATTTGCAGTTTCATTAAATACTTGACTTCTCTTTAAAAATAAACTTAATTTTATTTGTTACTTCTGTTCTTTATCAGACTTTGACTAGTTTGGTTTTCACCTGTTTTATCAAACTGGCTAATTTGTTGCTGTGTAGTAGTTTGATTAATTTGTTTTTTATCTTGACTAGTGTGTATTTTTATTTTATGATAAGATTTTGATCAGTTTGTGGCTTTTTTGACAGATTCTGATAGGTTTGTGTTCTTACTATGTACAAGAGCTGGTGGTCTTGGGATTAACCTGACAGCAGCTGACACTGTTGTTATATTTGATTCCGACTGGAATCCACAGAATGATCTTCAGGTATAGCTTAGAATTTTGTTGTTTTTAATCGTTGTATTTTTATAAAGCATATCACAATATTCATTATACTTGCTTATAATCATTGTAGGAAACTAAATTCATTTACATATATTATATTTTTGAATTTGTTCAGTATTAAAGACTAACTGTTATACTTTTTAAACGTTCATTTTTTTAATCAAAATTGTTAAGTGTAGCTGTTACAGTTCCTTGAAATTAACTCATTTCAATTAATATAATCAAAGCACAAACTTTTCCATCAAAAATGTTTTATAAAGATTTTTAAAAATTAATTCATGTTTTAATGTACATAAAACTTTCAACTTAAAACCCATTCACTGCAGCTGGAATGTATATTTTCTCAGTGCACTGGGAAATATACGTCTCAACCGCAGTGAAAAAGTTAAGGTAACTTGGCTTTTTAAGACATTGATTATTTGTCAGTCAAGTTAGTAAGTGCTTTATTCATGCTATAGGCTCAAGCACGGTGTCACAGGATTGGTCAGTCAAGAGCTGTTAAGGTATATCGGCTTATCTGTAGAAATACGTATGAAAGAGAGATGTTTGATAAAGCAAGTTTAAAACTGGGATTGGATAGAGCTGTACTACAGTCCATGAACTCTCAAAGGGAAGGTCTCAGCTTGGTAAGATTCATTTGGATGACAGTTAGCATTTGAGTTTTCTTTTTTATGTCTGGTTTCAAAATTTGATCTTAAATAGGCATAACAGATTAAAAGTGTGATCACTTTCTAAACTATACACACATTATATATATGCTTAAAAATATTTAGATATTTGACTTTGTATTCATTTTATCATAATCTATATTTATTATTAACCCTATAACTACTTACACACTCTTTAAATTTCTTTCTGCACATGCCACAAGGTGTTACTTAGTTACATTCAAAATCTAAGTAAACTATTTTACTATGTACATTATAGTTCCAAGTTTTATGTTATCTTAGTTTTTATTTCAAAATAAACATCAAAAGCAAAAAAAAATAATTTGTTTTTTGTCATGTGATACATGAGCTACAAATAATTTCAAACTTTTGCAATGTATAACTAGAGTCAGACAGATATCTTTTAAAGTTGTTTGGCTGAATGCAATAGAAACAAATAATAAATTGTGTTGACCACTGAAGGGTTCCATGCCAACTTTTTATGACCTTGTACTTACTTGGCATACATGTTCATTGTCATTAGAGAGAGAGCTCATTTGATACTATAATCCAAAACCAGTTATTTTGAAATTAGTGCCAAGTTGTTGTCATTAGATAAATGTAGCTGGTTATAGTATTGTTGGCTGTTTTGTTCACAATAGCACTTTGGTTGTTTCTTACCTGAATATGTTATAATCAGAGAGACAGTTAAATTGTATTTAGGTTTTACTTTTATATTAGTTGTGTTTAATAACTTTTATAAGATACCCAAAGCTTTGCCTTGCTCTGCAAGGCTTACATTACCAAGCGAGTACAAAAAGATTTTGTCAGAGGCTAAATTATCTCTGTTGTTCATACCATTTTATCACCCTCAGGTACCCATTGACATGTGTCAACATAAATAATCAATAGTAAAGAATGGGAAACGAAAATAAAACATTAAAATTAAACTATTAGTGAAAAGGTAAAGATGTGAAAGTACTCGTATGAGCCAAAGAAGATATTTTAAGACTATTCTACAAGAGAAGTACTTGTTTCCATTTCATAATTTTAAACATCTCATTGCAGTTAGTGATATAGTAGAGAAAATGGAAAATAAAATATAAACATTTATCTTTAAAAACTTTTAATATTCATTTAGGAGGTTTTAGAGATTATGCAAATGAAATGTGAAAACTGTAATGTAATAAATATTGTTTTTATACTCAAAATGAAAATCACCTTGCAGCTGAACTATTCAGAGTCTGAGTGCAAATAACTACATTAAATAACGAATTTTTATTAGAAATAGTGAAAAGAAATCGTAAATAAATATTTTTCTGAAACTACATACTTTTAGGAGCGTTCTCGTTAAATTTCATCCACTAGTTTTATTTTTGGAAGGGTTAAAAGACAGTAATTTTCTTCATGTGATTTTAACATTGTTTTACTGCTGAAAGATTAAATTAATGTATTAGTTCTAGTTTTATTTAAGGAAAGAATGAAAAATTTAAAAAAAGTATATACCTGCTACCTGATCGCTTAGCAGTAAGTCTGAGGGCTTGTACTACTGGAAACAGATGGACCATTGTGTAGCTTTTTGCTTAACAACATACAAAAAAAAAGTTTTTTTTTCCATTTCTATAGGGAGGTCAGATGACAAAAAAGGAGATTGAAGACTTATTGAGGAAAGGAGCATATGGAGCCTTGATGGATGATGATAATGCTGGAGACAAGTTCTGTGAAGAAGATATAGATCAAATCCTAGAACGTCGGACTCATACCATCACTATTGAGAGTGAAGGAAAAGGCTCCACATTTGCTAAGGCCACGTTTTCAGCTGGAAATATTAAAGATGATATTGCCTTGGATGATCCAGAGTTCTGGGCAAAATGGGCTCAGAAAGCTAATATTGATGTAGATGAACTAAAAAGTAAAGTAAGTGTACTTTAATATAAATTCTTCCAGTAGTAATATTTTTGTTACCAATTTCCTTCTCGCATAGTTATCGTACATTGTATAAATAATGATAATAATTTTTTATGAGTAACGCACAATAAAATAATTTATTGACATTATTATTTTAATGAATGAAATGTAAGTAGTTTAACATAAAATGTATTTCATAAATAATCTGAACATGTAGTTTTGTATTATATTTTGTTTCTGATATTCTTTTTAAAGAGGAGAAGCTAATTTCATTTTCATAGAATATGTGTGTGTATTATTTAAAATCCTCTAATTATTTTTAAAATTTATATTGTTCTTTATTTGAAGAATGAGCTTATTGTTAAAGAACCAAGGCGACGTACTCAAACCCAAAGATTTGGAGCTGATGATCATGTTTTAGGCCTATCTGAATTAGAATCCAGTGATGAAGATGACGATGCTGTATCATTCCGTACCAGAGGAGGTCGTACCCGCTCGCCAAGAGGACTACTTGGTTGCAACAGGAGTCGGAGTCGAGGAAGTCGGCGGAGGGTTGGTTTTGATAAAGAATGTGAGGAAGACTTGCTGGAAGAAGTCATACCTGGTAATTGGTCAAGATCTGAATGTTTCAAGGTTGAGAAAGGATTGCTTACTTTTGGGTGAGTCAAAGAACGTGTGGTATTAACTTATATTTGATATGAAAATAATGTTTTTGAAAACATTTTTGTGTATACACACGCACATACAGATACATGTCCAATCAACTTATTTTGATTAACCCTATCACCACGGGTATCCTTTACTGTGCATGATCCAAGGTTTTAGTGTTCTAGTAAGCAGACAAAACTAATGTTTGCTATTAAACTAAGTGCGTCTACCATCAAACTTGGTGAAAAAAAGGGCAAAAATTTATGTTTCGTAAAAGTAGAAATGTGTAAATCTTTTTTATAATGTAAAATTATTTAGACCCATCTTATTTATAATAAAGGGTTGGGATGTGATGGCTGTAAGGGGTGGTAGAGGCCATTTTGTTTCATTGATGTTAATCATCCTGTTTCTTTTGTTATTTCTAGATATATATATATATGCCCAAAATATGCACATAAACCATAGAATATTTATCTAACTTTCCAAATTGTAGTATTTGATGTTCCAAAATCTCCTATATTTTAAGCCATTTTCCAACAAAATCTCCTATATTTGATAGAAAAAAATTCATATATTTTTGGCAACAAAAAGTGCTGGGAAACCTGAGTCTTTAACAAAATCATTCATTGCTTCATCAGAATAACTGAAGTTTTTGTTGTTGTTGTTAAAATGTGTATCCATAAAATCTTATTTTTTAACTTGGGACTACAGCCTTTTGAAGAAATACAACAAACTAGCGAGAATCACTTATAATTATAAATTGAGAATAGTTACTGTACATTAACCCTCTGTCCACAGACATTGACATTATTCTGGGTTGGTGCCTTACAATTGTGGTGAACTAGAATTGACAAACAGTTTTGTTCAAGTATCTTAAGCAATTTTACCATTAGTTTGGAAGATGTTTCACATTTTGATAATGATACATTAAGACACCCGTAGAGCATTTATCATAGTATGTGTGAATGTCTTACTTTCTTTCATCTGAAGGCTTTCCATATGAGTGAATCATCCAAATGTCTTTATTGAGGTCTTGCTGTGGTTGTGAACAATTTGGAGCACTTTAAAACTGTGTGATTGACTTCGGAGTAACAAATAAGACAAATTGTATGAGACCACTGTATATAATTTAAATTGAATGAACAGTAATTCGCATTTCATTTCCTATCATAAATCATCAGATACCTGAAATGCATAAGCGTGAAGTGAAGATTGTGATTGGTTGATTTACTTCATAACATTGATTTTACCGTGTGATGACTTCACAATCACTAATTTAGGTTTTTTTATAATTTTGTACAGCATGTTGTACAGTTTTGATTGTTGTAATATTTGTTTATTCTTGGTTTTGAATTTTTTCTTAGAATCTCTACAATATGTATGTATGTGCATGTAGTTGAATAGCAATTGGATTTAATATTTCATCATTATTTGCTGTCGTATTGCTATAATATTTCATAACTGAATTTTATGTTATGATTACTGAAGTGGGTGTTTATGATTTTAATGGATCCACATAGAGATTATTCTTGTTGATCTGACAATCTGTTGTTTGTATGTTACAGCTGGGGTCGTTGGGAGGAATTTCTAGCTTTAGGTCAGTTCAAGAGGAGTTTGACAAAAAAAGATCTACAAGGCATCTCAAGGATAATTGTAAGTTAATAAATTTATTTGGAAATGTAAGAAGTTCAGTAGTGCTCAATATAACTTAGCATTAACTATTTTCAAATTTTAAGTTAACAGAAAAGTTCAGTACACAGATGAACATTCTGTAAGATCTTGTATAATTGAAATAAGGTATGGTTGAACATGACAGTTAGTTTCAAATATTCCTCTTGGAGGATTCTGATATTACATTTAATTTAAACCATAAGATGCTTGCATTTTGCTTAAATATCTAATCAAAACAAGGTAAAAATCAGTAAATAACTACAGTTTCTTTTGGACATACTTACTGGTCATAAGTGTTTTTATAAGCTGTTACAGTATGTTTTGGTAAAAAAAGTGTTTGAATAAAAATTCTTCCTCAAAATATACTTTGAAATCTGTAATTTTAAAGAAAGAACTGTGTTTAACAATGAATTTTTCAAAGGAATATATCTTATTGTAGAATGTAACTTTACTGTTGTCTAATATCTTTAAAATAATTATTGGTATTAAGAATGGTGTATTGTTACAAAAAGTTGTATCTTGTGAAACTTGAAGTAAGTGCATTTTAAACTATTTAACAATGTTTTTTATTTTATCAGTGTATTTTGCTATGTTGTTTCTGCTTTAACATAGATTGTCTTGGGTTCTATAGCTTCTTTTCTGTCTCCAACACTACCATGGAGATGAGAAGATCAAATGGTTCATATTGGATTTGATTATGCCAACAGAGGATGATGAGAGCAGAATTAACAAAAGTCATTCTGGTAGGGAAAAAAATGTTTCAACCTATACTGTGTGTTTCATACCCTGATTGGCTTGATGAGCCTTTGTTTGGGGCAAAAATCTTCGTTTGTATAGTGTGGTTGACATACACTTATCCATCCTTATTTACTTTTGGTTATAAGCTCTAAGAATTCATTATGATTGCTTAATTCTGAGCTCTTGCTACACACAAAACCAGAAAGAGATAGTAGTGCCATTAATACATTCAACATTTTATTGGTAAAAAAACTGTCAACTTGTTGTGGCCCATGTGTGCACTTCAGGTGTTGAACACACGTGCAAATGAAGTTTTAAAATTTAATCAAAAAACACAATTCAAATTCTATTTCAGTATCATCACTGGGAAATATAATGATCCATGCTTTGTTTTTGATGCCATTTTCTTTCTGTATTAGTTATTTATTATTACTACAAGTGCTCATTATCATGTGAGAGTAGGGATCTAACCACTCATGATAAAAAAATCAAGCTTTACAAATGACTAGAGCCAAAGGCTATAAATGCTTGGATAAAGAAGATGGGCTTTTGATGTGCCTTTATTTTGATCAATTTACATGGGATTTAGTACAAAGATACTTTTTACAGGTCCCACACATTGACAACAAAAATGGTGGACTCGCAAGTTTTTAGTAAATATAAGTGGCTTAAGATGCCACAAAAAGCACAATTTTT